ATTCCCTAAAAATATTTAGGTGGTGACTCTAAAATCTGGCAAAGTAGTCCATTTTTGGTATTTTGATTCAAAATTGATTTTCCAAAAGATTTTCCCGATTTGGACTCTTTTGTGTTTATCTATTTCACATTGCATTTGTGACACCAGATTCAAAATCACAAGAGTCTGAACTGTAGGGCTATCGTATCCAATGAGACTAAACCCCTCCGAAGAGCACGAAAAGCGAGCTACATGCTTGTTTGTGGTTTCGATTGCTGCATTGCATTGTGTATCATTTGCATCCTGCCCCTGAACTACGCTGGCTTGATTCCTCGCAAAGGGATACGTAAGCAACCCTCGAGTTCAACCAATTGCATCTGCATTTTGTTTGTCTACCCAAGTCTTACGGCCTTGTCAAATGGGTCGTTTTTGGGCTTTGACATTCACTCATGTCATAAAATGACTTCGAACTTTGTCAAAGAGGGGCAACTGTAAACATTCCATTTTGACCGCCCGTAAGACTGGGCCGCTTCATTCCAAGCACCTGATGATGAAATGTTACGCTATGCAATCTTTCGAATTTTTAGCAAAAGAATTCGGTTTTGAGATTCAAACCCAATCCTTGCACCCCATTTAGACCAAAACCTGTTTTTATAGCTTGATCACTCAAAGAGCAGTAGGACCAAAGGTTGACCAATGCCACTTTTATTGGGCCGGCCATACATCCTCTTGGCTGGCCGGCCATGTTTAATGAAGTAAATATTTTGCAGCAACAGGTTGCTCCCATGCACGGGATTTGACACCTGTTCTCTTTTGGAGATATTTCCAATGTGAGATGCCTAAATTCAATAAATACAGCACTTCTTAGGGTTAGAAAATTTTCCAAAAGCTTAGAAGCTTGTCCAAAATACTCCTCTACCCTCTTGAATATAGATACACTGTAGATACACCATTGAAGCTCAAACTTGAAGCTTTTTGCTGAAGTTTGTAACCTTATTTCAGATACTTGAGGTTGTTTGGAATCAAGTTTGATAACTAAGAACTTACCTCTCTTTTCAAGAGGTATAACTTTGCATCTTCTTCTTTACTTCTCTTTCACTCTCTTCCTATCTTTTTCTTGTTTTACACACTGTTTTTGAGTTGTTTTGAAGGGCTAAAATATGTGATTAAAAGTTACAAAAAGTAGAGGGGTTAGCCAGCTTTCCTTCAGCTTGATTACTATAGCTTATTCCTTACTTCATTTTTTTTTTCTTACTTTCTCTTAGCTTTAACACTGTTTTTTTTTTAATATTTATTTAAATGTTTATAGGTTGTTTAATGTTTAATTTATGCTTTGAATATTATAAATTGTATTGTTGTAAGTCCTCACGGATTTGGCGTGTTTAGGATATAGCGGCCAATCCGTTTGAGTTGATTACTTTACTTTGATCCTTATAGCTTTCTTTATGTATATTGGAATCTTGTGGTTGTGAAAGGGTTAAAACTTAGCCACCTCACCACAAGTTTGATTAACTAGCTATAAATTTCTTACTTTCATGCTATTGTTGTACAGCTTGAAGTTAGGTAGTAGCTTCCGTGTCAAAAGTGTTATAAGCTCTCTTCTAGTTCTATTTTTGACATAAGGAAATGGATGTTTCATCCTTAATCCATGAGTAGGAAGAAGAGTTTACAACAATTTTTGAGTTGTTATATTTATGTCCATCACTTCCTTGAAGTAACTTCATGATAAGAATGAGGTAGGTAGAATAGTCTTGTTTTCCGTTGTGTTTAGTAAATCCTTTTCCTATTGCTTCTAAGATCATCATGCGACAACTTTGCTATAGTTGCTGATTTGAGAAACAAATTTACTCCTCCCTTGAATATCTTCATAATAGGGAAGGGCAGAAGGGGAAAACATCCTTTGGAAATCCTCTGTCCCAGTTCTGTTGTAGCAAGTCTTTCTCCAGAAATATTAGTCGGCCGGCCATTCTTCTATATGGCCGACCATCTAAGCAAACCGGCCGACCACCTCTTTTGTATGACAGTGGTAGTTATTCAGCAAAACCGAGCAGATCTTGAGGCCAAAACAGAACTATTTTCTAACTGCGGATAAGGCAATTTTTGGCAACGAACATGAGCATATAATGTCCATAAAATTCACATCATGATTTAATAGAGGCCGATCTTTGATCGAGTGAGTGATGTGCTCAATTCATGATCTTTCTCTCTCATACCTATGTTTCCGAGCCGAGACAACTTTAGTTATGATGGACAAGTGGCCTTTGGCATGAGTCACGGATTTCCTAATTTCTCCAAAAATATTAGGTGGCAACTTTGACATCTGGCAATGCAGTCCATTTTTGGCATCTCTGATAATTAATGGATTTTCTAAGATTTGCTAGATTTGGACTCTTATTCGGTTTTTTTTTTTTTTTTTTTTTTAACATTACACTTGTAAAACCAGATTAAGAACCACAAAAGTCTGAACTGTAGATAATCGCATCCGAAGAGACTAAACCCCTCCGAAGAGCGCGAAAAACCAACTACAACTAGCTCAACTAGTTTGACAAAATAAATAGGTACTTTTTTGTGTGCTTTTAATAGGAATTTTGCCTAAGAGCCTTGGAGTTGCACAAAAAAAAAAAAAAAATATTGATTCTTCTTTTATCTTATTTAATTAAATTACGCAAAAAAAAAAGTGTTGGAAAAATAATGGTTTTTTGGCGATTTTAATGCAATATTAAAGTGAGTGTTAATCCTCAATTGAGGTGGAGTAGAGTGGGTTTAGACTCTTTGTAATGAAATCTTTACACTAGAAAAAGAATGACCAAAAACTATTAAGGTTTGAATAAGAAATTGATTCATTAAGTTGGCCTCATGAAAGTGGTGTTGGGAAATGTATAAAACTTTGTATCCCACATTGATTGTGAATGAGAGCATTGGGTATTTAAATCTCATTTTTTGCATACGGGTGTAAGCCCTTTGAGGCATCCAAATTTTCCGAAGGAATGGACTTTATGGATGCTTCAAGGATGGACTTGGGCCAAGACTATGGTCAAGTTGGTTATGCAAAAATTGCCACACGTGCGCGCAATGCCGCCCATCCTGACCAGACCAGGCCGGGCCTGGTCCGTGGATTGTGGATCTTGGGACTTGGGCTTGGGTTTGGGCTTGGTGGAATGGATTGAGTGTGGGGGTTGGGCTTGGCCCGCCCATCTTAATCTTTTTGGGCCAAGTTAGATATGTGGGTTGCATGAATATATACACAAAATCTAGTGTATATAGCTAGTAACTCCTCTATTGATTATGGAATTAAACCCATCAGTTTTGCAGAATTAATTCAGGTTAATGCAGAATTAATTCCTGCATTTGCTGCAGGAGGCTCATCTCCCCTCCTCTATGTGTATAAAAGGAGACCCTTCTCCTTCATTCTGGACACCAGAAATTACTACTATTCCAGTCTTCAAAAGTTTTCCAATTTTATTATTTTCTTCCTGTGAGAGAGTGCTGCAAAGTTCTATTCGACGAAGTTTTTCAATCGGTGGATTGCATAGCTAGTCCAACCGTCGTAACTTGGGAGACAAATGTCGAACAACCTCCAATACCTAGCCGGTGAGGCGGCGAATCTATTTTAAGGACATTGTGTAGTGCAGGTTTCGGTTTGCTTCCTTTTGCTAGTTTTATTTTATTATGAATTTCTGTAAATTCAAGCGTGTTCTTTTTCTGAAATTCAATTTGTTTGTTCAATATGAATCTATTTATAATTATGTTATCATTCAATTTATACAAAAAAAAAAAAAAGAAATTATTCTGTTTTGTATTACCAAGATAACATTTTATAAATGTCACTTTTTTCCCTTTTATTTTTTATTTTCTATATCTAAAGGGACAATTTTGACATTATTAGAAAATAAGAATTAATTGGTTTCTTTTCTCTCAATTTCTCCACTTTTAGAGAAATTGCAAATGAACATTAACGCTCCGCTTGTTTAGGGGAAAAAACATTTTTATGAAATTTTTTTTCAAAAAATGTTCTCTGGAAAAAATATTTTTCAATGTTTAGTGATGATGTTGGTGGAACGAAGGTGGAAGTTGTGTCATGGTAGTGGGGGTGGCAGCGGTGATAACAATGATGATAGTGACAGTGACCGTGGTGATGGTGTCATGATAGTAAAGATGAGAGTAGTGATGGTAATGTGGTGACATTAATAAAATTTTATTAGAAAACATTTTTTGCTTTTTAAAAGAGAAAAATATTTTTTACCCATATAAGCTTGTTTTTTTGTTGATTATAAAAAAAGTAATCTGTTAATTTTTATTTTCCATACTACCAAAAATCATAATTCTACCCAAACAAACTGAGCGTAAAATAAACAAGTTTTTCTCCATTTTTTTCTCATTTTACCCGAGTCTCACTTCTTTACTTAACCAAAAACTAACATGCATCAAGAGAAACACATTTCTTTTCTTTCCAAACTAGAAAGTGATTTTTATAATTCCTAACTCTTCAAACTAGAAAGTTGAACACATAAATAAGACGAGAAGTATTATCCTCCAAGAGTACTTCGTCATCTAAATTTCCAGTAATGTCATGTGCTTTAAAGCCTCATAAAATTTCAATTTATGGTGTAAATTTAGATTTGAAGTCATCTAAATCACATCTGGAGTGAATATGATTTACACATTTTAACCTTTAAGCAATTTCTTATTATTGATTTTGAAGGACGTAATATTATTGTTTACTTCCAGGCTCTTCTTCTTGTTGGTACCCTGATTTTATTTTATTTTATTTATTATTATTTTGAAGTACAAAAATGTTAGAGACTCTAAAAATTCTATCAAAAGTTCTGCCAAATGTCTCACATGAGTGTGGGACCCACATAATCCCACACCCATGTAAAACATTTAGTAAAAACTTTAGTAAAATTTTTGAAAACTCTAGCATTACTCTTTGAAGTAATCTCAATGCCAGCCAAAGATGGTCATATTAAATAGGAACTTCTGATGTTGGATAAACAACCAAAAAAAGAAGAAAAAAAAAATCAACAAATAAAAAGCTAAACTCAAAATGAATCAATATCCAACATTCAGTAGATGTAGAGTACAAAAAAGAAAGACCAGAGAGGTGAGGCACAAAATTTAAGGTGACTCAACATTGGTATCAAAAAATACATGAAACACAAGATAGAAAATTGCAGCACCAAGTCTACATAACCATCCACTAGGGGAACCCAAAAAAAAATGTAGATAATCCAAAAAAATCTCACTTCCAAACTATTTCGGAAAAATATCACCTCAATTGCCCAATGATTTTAGCGAGGGCTGAATACGATCCGATGATTGACGATATGACACCTACAGTGATAACCAACGTACAAAGCGATATCTACCAAAAGAAGTGGGAAAAAAAAAATGGTTAGGGGAAAAATGTACAAGAAAAGTGCTGAGCTCTAAGTATATAATGCTATGCTTAACTGAGTAATTGAACATATTGGCAGTCATGCAAATCATTAAAGTCATAGTTTAGGCTCTATAAAATTTCCATAGAAAATAAAAAATAAGCAAATAATCACTGACATTGGATAGACATGGATACAAGAAACAATATGGACAAATTTAAAAAAATGGGGGCAAAATGAGCAAAACATATTATATATATATATATATATTACAAATCACATATATGAATATTTCATTCAAAGAATAAAAAAAATACAACATCATGTTAGTTTCTAAAATTTAAAAGATGTCTTAATAGGTGTAATCAAAATTGTTCTCTTTTATCATTGGATCCCAAGTTATATTGTTCAAACTTGTAATTTGTTTCATGTGTGTCTAAGCTTTGAATTGGACATGTGTCTCCCAAGTGATCGAAACGTGTTTGTTTCCAACAAACTTTTAAAAACAATAGAGCACATGAGTACACGAATACACTACCTTCTTATCTTGACAAACTGATATATAAAAACTAAGTAAATAAAAAAACTTGATTGAACAAGTATAACAGGAACTCTTCCTAGATGGAGATGAGTAGTCCGTAAGTGATCTACCGTTAAGGAGACTGAATTTCAATTACTTTTAATACGCCACTGGTATGAACCACGAGTTAAGCAGTTTAAAAGTATGCAACTGATATTGTTATGTTCAACATAAATGAATGCAAATGAAAGTTGCATCTTGGCCATACCTGAAAGCAAGTTATTTTCCCCCTCAAGATGCTCAAATAACAGGCACAAGGAAGTATCAAGGTCTGCAATAAAAAATTTAGTCAGTACAATGTAAAGAACATAAATTTTCTGAATTTGATTACTCAGAAAGAAGTGAAAGCAATTGGAGAAAAAAATGGGAAAAAACGGTACACAAATACTTACTACTAGCATTGTAAGTAAAGATCCAATCAGGGCCATCACCAGACCTGTCATACCAGAAACAGATATGCTAATGCAATCATTAACATGTTCAAAAAGATGAAAATCTAATGCTGTAAACAGCATAGCAGGACCAACCAAAGGACGGGTTCCAATCAAGCTTCTAAACTGAGCATTATCAAACAATTAGTAAAGCATGAAAACTTACCAAAGAAGGGGATGGAAAGACCCACAACCACAGTAGAAATCACCAATGCAGTTCTGATGAGGATCGCATACATGCGAGATTTACGATTGTTTGAAGGTATCAATTCCTCCAAACTCATTGCCACTGGCATCATGGTTAATGCATACGTGCTTATAATTAAGGGAAACAAGGATAGAAAGCTTCATGAAATTTAACACCTTACCTTCATTTGAGCAGTTTGACTGAGATTATGAGACCCAAGGAAATAAATAAAACAGTTTTCTGCGTTCAAGGGAGGGCATATGTTTGTCCATAGGGCATTGACTTCATAAAGAGGGCCACAAGCGTAACAGTAAAATCAGTAAAATCAGAAACACCATATAGCTTTTTACAATTACATTTCCTTAAAATTATCTCTAATCAATATTAATCAATAGCAATTTCTCACATTTCCATATTACTCCTTTCCATTCTATATTTTTCAACTGAACCATGGAAAATAATTTGAATTCGAAGCTTCTCTGGAAGAGACCCTTACCAAATAGAGCTACTTCCGCACAAACAAGATAAATAATTCTATCAACAAAAAGGATATTTGGTAAATGGATTAACTACCTGCAAAAGAACAAACAGGAGATGCAAGTTATCATCGCTGATTTGCACATTAATGTCTAAAAAAACTAGATTCACAACCCTAGATCAAAGGAATAGCTAATGAGCACAAATGCATAATTGGAGGCATAACCCAGGTAACAATGAAGCATGCTAGTGAAAAGCTCTTTTCAATGTGTTTATAATGTTAAAAGAGAGTGAAATGACAATTGGCAGGTGTTATAGACAGAAGCTTTTGTAAATATACATATTCTAGGAGAAAACATAACACCAAAACTTAGATCAGCCTACCGTAGTCCACACAGCAATTTTGGATACAACCAAATCTTGGGGCATGTTAAGAGTGAATTGAGACAGCGTTGAGTCTCCGAACATCAAGTATCCCATCACAGCTACTCCAGCATACATCAAAGTACAGATACCAAAACTGCATCCAGAATAGATTTCAAGTAAACAAACCTGGAAAACCATTTGTAAAAACAGTAAAAAGATGTCAAGTAATCATAAAATTATTGAGATACTTTTGTCAGGAATATTTGAGTCTTTTGGATACTGTACTTCTAGTTTGATGTTTCACTTAGAAACAGAGGTAAACAAGAGTCTGAATCATGCATAATAATACTAAGGGCCATTAGCCAATGAAATGCTGTTTTGGCTTCTAGTTTCAACTGCAAGTTTAGACAACTCGGCCTCATTAGCTTACCTAGCCAAGAGGACTGAAGGGAATTGGCTTGGTTTCTCCATTGATGTATAGATATTGGGAAAGACAGCGTGTCCCGAGTAGCAATAACCATAGAGACCGAGAGCAACAGGAAGGGTTGTGAGGTTCAGGGTTGTCCTCCCTTCGCTCTCAAAGCCAACTTTGTCCACCAAGCCAACCCAAAACAAGCAAAGGACTACCAATATTGAGGCAATGACTCCACCAGCTGGAAACAATGATTATAGAAATTAAGAATTCCTTGTAATGCATACAGATAAAACAAAAGATGGAAAGTTCATAACTGGGGGAAAAAAATTAAAAAATTGCTCAAAACCTACAAGCTATGATGAGAATTCATTGTACTTACCAGAGATGTAACTAAGCAAACTGAGGTCTCGGAGCCAAACCGTAGGAAGAATAGCAAGGGTGGCCAACAATGCAAACAAATGGTGTGAATTCAATACGAATCCTCCCAAATTTAAATGCGCATTTGGAAATAATGACGATAGGTTATCACTCTCCAAAATAATATATTCGACACAACAAGCCTGCAGGAGAGAACTTGGAGGTGATTACAATAATATGGAAGGATTGATGCTCGACAAGTAGAAACTGTCAGCATGTGTTCAGATTGGATTGCTGAAAGACAAAGCATTATGTTTCTTTTAATACAGATTTGTTACTCTTTGGAAGAATCATTTTCTCTTATTCAAGGTTTAGTAGATATTGGTTGAAAAAGTGAATTCTATATATGGTGTGTCCAACAGAGATATGGCACTTGAGTGACCAAAATTTGGGTGGGGGTGGAATTCTTATTTCATGAAGCCATCTTCTCTCTCTCTCAAACAGTCTTGCACCACTGAAAACTGTAGTGGCACATAAGCCATGTGAGAAGAAACTGCTGGAACCTGAACCCTTGGTTTCTTTACAGTCTGACAGCCTAGTCAGAGACACAACTGGCATTGCCTTCCAAATTGCAAGACTTGCCAGGACATGGATGGTCCCTAAAGAATTCGCAGTTCTACTTGTTTTCCTTAGATATAAAATTTTAGCTGATAGATGTAAAATAGGTCCTACAATATCGGTAAAAGAAGTACAAAACACATTAGGCAGTTGAACTTACATATAATTCCGCATATAAAATTATCTGCAGCCACAGAAAACAACAGAAGAAACCAAAAGGGTCAGCAACTGTCATGTAGTAAATTTGAGCTTGATTAATTCATTTATTTTCTTAAAAAAGTTTCACAAACAATTTTGTTGTTTTCTCCTTGCAAATTGCAATGCAAAGGGAAACTTAGATGAGTGAGCCATGCATGCAACTATTTTAAGCTTGAATACAAATAATCTTTTTGTTCCTGTTCAAAAAAGAAAACAAAGGACCTCACCGTTTATATGATGAAAAAAAATGGTTTGAAATTAATTTACCAGATATGAAGGTTCAATTTATGATATAAAAGTGAAGTATGATTGAGATAAGCAAAGAGAAGAACTATAATTTTCAGCATAGCTGGCAGTAAGTCTAAGATAAAATTCTTCTTTAACTAAAAGTGCAACTTGTTGATTTATGTAAGAGCCCAACAAAAGTTTTTCCTTCCATATATTTAGTGGTTAAGTGTACCCATAACTATTAGACTTTTTTATTTTTTTTTAAATTTATTATATATATATTTTTTGGTTTTTTTTCAATAATTTCTATCAAGGCAAAATTAGGGTGTAGACAAGTAAGAATTTAAATAGATAAAGGGTAGTGTAAGAATAGAGAAAATGGAAAGAGAAAAGGTGACATCATTGAAAAATAGAGAAACATAAACCAAGAAGGGGGGAAATGGGAAAAAGATAGGCTCACATGAAAAATTGGTAAATGATTTACATTGAAATGGAAGAAGGACAATATCTTCTTGAATGAATTAGTTACTTGTTTAATTAGAATATACAATAATCAAGTGTATATCATGTTCTATGAAGTGCAAATGATACATTTACTTTAAAATAATAATACATTGTGTAAAAGTAACTAGTACATTAAACAAGTAGATTATTTTCCATTAAAAAGACAACCATTTACGATTTTTTCTTTCATCTGAGCCTAAACTTTTCTTAATTTTATTTCCTTTTGATCTAACCTTACTCTATTTTTCAGTTGAAGTTACTTTTTCTCTTCCATTTTCCATATACTTACACTACCTCTTTCCAATTCAAATTCTTACAATTATTTAAATACTAATTTTCTCTTTTATTAACACCTATAGGAAAGGGCGAACAAGGTCGAATAACTAAATAATTTTGAAGCTAACAAGACTTACTGAGATGGCAAAACGCCCCGTAGTACCAAATGCCGCCTGGCCAATGTCTGGGTAAGTCTCGAGCCCAGGTTGGCTATCCAAGCAGGAACGCAAGAGGAGCCCAGTGTAGAAAGAAAGCACTGCAAAAATAATCAATATCGAGATCCCAGCCCATCCACCTTCTTTGACAGCATAAGGAGTAGAAAGGATTCCCACACCACATAGAACATTCATGCCTGCATAAAACCACAATAATAATAATAATAAAAAAGACAAATTATCTTACTGGAACTTGGATTAGTCCTTTACTTATTAATCAGAATTTGATAGTTGATCTACCGGTACAATTTTACAGGAACAATTAAGTCAAAACTGACCTGAAAAGTGAAATATTTCGGTAAAAAGGTAAAACTAAAACCATGTTAACGTAACTTTCAGGAAAAAATGCCACCCACTAAGGCCTCATGGGAACAGGCTAATTTAGTAAGGCCTCATGGAAGGTTATTGCTATCAATGCAAAATTTGTTAAATTTGATCTTTCAGGATATGAAACATGTGTTGTACTAAGTTGCAGGGCCAAAAGAGTGAAGCTATATGAACTGAATACTATTGATACAGATGGAATGCACTTGATCCTCTATTTCAATTCAAAATTTGCTAATATTGCTAACTAAAATAAAATAACAGCTGCCAGATCAGTCAGAATGGGTACTCAGGCAGTGAAAGAGAATATCCTTTCCACTGCCAAAATCTATATCATATATGGTGATAACTGGCAGACTGCAAAACTAAACCAAGTCTAGTCTCAATATGAAACGTAATTTTTTTTTTTCTTTGGTTCCCTAGTAGTGTAAACATCTTCATTTTTGCCCATTTGTATGTTTTTGGGGCAATCACAAATCAGTGGGAATGGAGTAAATATTAAGAAAATCATGGAGGTGCAAGTAAAAGAGTTGTGTCCCAGGCCACAACTTTCACTTGCATCAGGACACGGCACCTCCATGATTTTGTAAATATTTTCCCTAATTTCTACTGATTTGTAATTGCTCCTATGTCTTTCCCAGCTCAGTTAGGTGAGCCAATGAAGCAAAAAGCCAAAGAATGACATTTAAGGTTCAGAGAGAAGGGACACACACACTCTCTCTCTCTCTCTCTCTCTCTCTCTCTCTCTCTCTCACGCACACACACACACACACACAAACAAGCGAAGTCAGCTTCCCTAAACGTCAGACTTATTTTTGTTGTTTAGATGATTTTCCACATGCACCACGTGATATAGTTCAAATGGAATGAAGGGTATGTCTACTTGAAAGTAATGCCTACAAGTCACAAGTCAAGACAATTATGAGCAACAGACAAGTCTGGGAAGCACATGAACTTTCACAACATAATATTTTAATTTAAACAAAGTACTCTATCAGATGTGAAGGCAATAATGGTTGCTTATCAAAATCGAGCAACCGAGCAATACTAAATCATATAAACAAGAAGTGGAGACCAGAAAATCACAATGGCTGAATTAAGAAATTCGTACCTCTACTCATTTAATTGTTATTTTCATGACTCGCAAAATTGATTTGCAATTGCATTAAGAAGAAATATGTGGAAAGTACAGTAAGGACAATTTCGTCTCTACCCAACCATTTATTTAGATGAGGGCACTGATGGGTCAATGATATCACTACACATAAATTGGACCCTACAGTTAAGAATCGCTACACAAGATTATTCTATGGGATCCAATTGTATTGCTGCTTTTCGTACATAATGTTGATACAGTGCACTTATGCTATCAAAATTATGACATTGTTGCTCTCTATCTGTTGAATATAAAAATCAAAATATTATGTTTGAATATGAAAATTAGAATAGGAATAATTTTGATTATAGGAATCTTACCTTGTGTATATTGTTTCCTAAATTTTATCATGAATATATTATATATACATGGCTTCTACCTCATTTATTGGTAAGCTAAATAATTCTTTTCATTCTTTTTGGTATCAGAGCCTCCCTAGCCGTCTCTCTCTCAACCACCCATCACCACCAACTGCCTTTTTTTCTTCTCTCTAGCCTCCGACAGCCCTTCCCAACTCCTTTTCTCCCTCCGACAACCTTAGCCTAGCCTCAACCCAGCCTTCACAGCCCTTCTCCTTCCTTCTCTTCACCTCGATAGGCCTTCTTTATCCCTGCCGAGGCTCTGGTTGCTGCCGACCAGACTTTGTTCTAGTCTTACGTGCTTTGGTTGCGTCTTTAGGTGGTCTGTGGCTGTTTTTTTCCCCTTCTTGGGCTGATTGGACTGATGTGTTAAGCCTCTTTGTTTGTCCTTTTATTCTTTTGGGCTACCAGCTACCAGATTTATTCGGTGGCATCTATTTAGATAAGCCGTTAAGTTTTTTTTGCTTCTTATTTTTTTCTTGGGCTGTGTTGCTAGCTTTGTGTGTTTTTCAGCCCCTCTTCTTCCACCATGACTACTCCATCCTTTGTTGATATACCCACCAAGCCTGTTCCAATTGGTTCTGATTTTTCTCTTTCTCATCACACTCCTAGTTCTCGGGGTTCTACTGGTCCAATTACTTATTATCATTGTGCCATTTCTAGTCATGTTAAGGCTCGTTGCTTCAAACTTCACCCTAAATTGAGGCAACGTTCCTCTTGCCCTCGTGGTGCTAGCACCCCTCGCACTGCTGCTCTAGTGGATTCCACTACTCCTGCTCCAGTGGATTCCACTACTCCTGCTCCTGGGTCTCCTCATGTCCCTAATTTACAGGAGTTACAGACTCAGATTGGTTAGCTTCAAGCTTAGCTTGAATCTCTTACTACCAATTCTCCTGGCCTATCATTTACCACTGCTGCCACCCTTGCAACAGGTACTTCGATTGCTTTCCATATTCAGTTTGCTAGTTCCTCATGGGTTCTAGATTCTGAAGCTAATGAACATATGACGGGTGAGTTTTCCTTTCTTTCTTCACCAGTCCCTACTACTATTGCCCAATCTGTGTGTCTTGCTAATGGTTCGTCTCTATTTGTCATAAGCGTGTAATGTCATTATCCCCTACCATTACTTTATCATTTATTTTACATGTTCCAAATTTTACATATAATCTCTTATCTATTAGTTATCTTGCCAAACAATTTAATTGTGATGTCATCTTCTTACCCTCCTCTTACCTTTTACAGGACCTTAGTTCGAAGAGGATTTTTGGCAAGGGCTATGAGCGTGATGGGCTATACTACTTTGGGAATCCACCGGATGAGCCTTCTTTTTCTTCCTTAGCTAGTTTTCAGGCCTCTGTTTTGCCTCCTTCCATGTCTTGTGTTTTTAATATTCAAACTTTAGAATTATGGCACGCTCGTATAGGTCATGTTAATTTTCAATATTTATGTCAACTTTTTCCTTTATTTGATAAAGCTTGCAAAGATTCTAGTTTCATTGTGGTTTGTGAGTTGTCTAAGCATACACGTACTAGCTATATCCCTCATATGACTCGTGCTCCTAGTGCTTTTGATCTTATACATTCTGATGTCTGGGGCCCTTCTCCTATCACTGCTTTTTCTGGCCATAGATATTATGTAACTTTTATTGATGATCACACTAAGTGCACTTTGGTTTATCTAATTCATCATAAGTTTGACGTCTTTTCCATTTTTGTCCAATTTTTATTGATGGTTAAAACTCAGGTTCATGCAATTGTTAGGACTATGCATTCTGATAATGGTGGAGAATATAATTATAATGCATTTCGTTCCTATCTTAATCAAACCGGTATTCTTCAACAACTTACGTGTCCTCGGATCCCTGAACAAAATGGTGTTGCTAAATGCAAAAAAGTCATATTATGTCTGTTGTACAGTATCTTTTTCAAGGTATGGGTGTTCTCAAGTCTTATTGGCATATGGTTGTCCTTACTGCTATTTACCTCATTAATAAAACCCCTAATCATGTGTTCGCATGGACTCACTCTGTTTCATACCCTCATGCCGACCACCACGTTGTTTCCACTCTTACCTCGTATCTTTGGGTGTACCTGTTTTGTTCAAAATCGGAGTCCCACTTGCACAAAGTTAGATGACAAATCTATTCGTTTTATCTTCTTAAGGTACTTTTCCATATCCAAAGGGTATAGATGTTATGACCCTATGTCTCGTCACTTTCACCACACTTTGGATGTTATGTTTTGTGAGAATCTTCCTTTCTTTAGTACTAACCCATGTTTGCAGGCTTCTCCTCCTGTTACTTCCACTGTTCGCCCGGTGATCATTTTGGACGAGGTTGCGAATGAGGTTGTCCCCCTTCTGCCTTCTCTACCTTCGCCTCCTCCTCCATTGCAAGTATATTCCCGTCACCCACGCACTCAGCCCCCCTTCCACCTCTCCGATCTCTGAATCAGGTAACTCCTCTCCTTTAACTTCTCCTCCACCTCCTTGTCGTAACCCACATTTGGGATCGACATCCTCCAAATCGTTTGAGTTATTTGAGTAGTACTTATCATCCTATTGCCCAATATCTTTCCTATGACAGGGTTTCTCCTTCTTATTGTTCTTTTCTTAGCAAGCTTAAGTCGGAGTCTATTCCTCGTTCTGTATCTGAGGCCTTTCAGAATCCCAAATGGGTAGCGGCTATGCAGACTGAGATGGTGGCCTTAGAACAAAATCACACTTGGGATCTTGTACCTTTACCTCTTGGGGAAAGCACAATTGGTTGCAAATGGGTGTTCACTATAAAGTACATCGCTGATGGCTCAGTTGACCATTACAAATCCTGCTTGGTGGCCAAAGGTTTCATACAGATTCCTGGCAAGAATTTTGGTGCCACTTTTGCCCCTGTCGCCAAGCTTACTTCTGTACGTCTCCTTATCTCCCTTGCAGCATTTCATTCTTGGCCTCTTCATCAGCTTGATGTCAAGAATGCATTTCTTCGTGAAAATCATCTTGAGACAATTTAAATGGCTCCTCCACCCGGTTTTCGGGATGAGGGGGAGTATTCGAGAAAAGTGTGTCGGTTACGTAAATCCTTGTATGGTCTGAAACAGTCTCCATGAGCATGATTTGGTCGCTTCAGCGTTGTTATTATATCTATGGGCTTTATTCAATGCCACTCCAATCACACTTTCCCCGAATACTCCCTCTCAGCCAAAAAACCGGATGGAAGAGCCATATAAATTGTCTCAAGAAGATCTCCATGGAGAAATACATTTTTGACATCAAGCTGATGAAGAGGCCAAGAATGAGATGC